GGATCAAGATCAAGATCAAGATTTTTCCCTCGATATGGATCGTACCAAACAACGTTCGAGAAATCCGAAATAAACGGTGTCGCCGCTAATGAAAGAGGATCGATTCAAGAAATGCTATAGTACTATGTAATGTAACACGTGTGTATGCACTATGCAGGTTTCGTGATCGAGTAACTTACGCAACTGGCGATGATGCCTATGTAATATAGTTTTAAGTTATCATGAGAAATGAGAATACGTCGTATGATTTAACTTTGGACCTACAAATTTCAGAATTTGAAATTACAAAAACACGTGAAGGTACGGTTTTGAGGTTTAAAGCTCTGTCCTTCAAGATTCAGAGCCTTTTTCTTTCTTTTTATATAATTTACCGCCATAAATCAACCGTTACAAACTTATGACAAATCAGACAACAAGTAATCTTTTTGTTTGCTTTCTCATTTTGTGGGCTCAAAGTTCTACAAATAATAGATGTAGTACTCTGATATCCATTCACTTATTTTCATAACAGATTAAAAAATATTTATTGCTCCAACGGTACAAAGATTGTAGTAGGTCCTCTCAATTTAACAAGGAAATTTTTCTGGCCTCTGGTTCCTGTTCTTCTGTTGTTTAGGATCCGTATGAATGTTGATGCGAAATCTCGCCTTTCTTTTGGCCAGAAGAAACTGATTTCTCCAGGGCTCGTTGTTTGAGCCAAGTGTGTGTGTGTATCATCAGACAAAGATCCTATCGGTTCCTCCACCACATTGCAAAAGATTGGTCATGCCTTTGCGTATGCCAATTTACACTCGACCTTAAATCAAAAGAATACAGAATAAGATCTTGGAAAATAGCACAACAACAAAGTAAACTAAATGTGTACAAGCAACACTTATAGATGAAGGAGACATCCATGACTTACTGAGTATATCCATTGAAAGCTTCCAATTCATCCTGAGCTTTATTAACACGGAAGAACAAATAGTTGATAAGAAGTTAGCGTGCCTCTCAATACGAGGCTGCATTCATTTTCCAGTTCCACCACAACTATACAAAAGAAACTCAGGAGAAAGAAAGAACCAAAGAATCCTTTGGACGCATTGTCGTGTAAATGTAGCAAATTTGTTATGTAACCATTACAAAATGGACTTAAGGGAGAGCAACTGTTTTGAGCTGAAAGGAGGGACTCGTTTGTGAACTAACGCCATAATCACCTTAGCCTGATCAATTTCACCCTTTTTCACTAACCCGTCGAGCAACATACCAACTGTGTCCAAGTTTGGGTACCACTTCTTTCTCATACAATCCTTACACATTGTATAAGCCAAATCAAACTTTCCTGCTTTACACAAATAGTGGATCATCGTCTGGTAGATCTTCACATTGGGTTTGTAACCCTTACCATGCATCGCTGTATAAACCCTTTCCGCCATTTCAGGGAACCCCGCAACGAAAAACCCCTTGATAACCAGGTTATATGTTACGGTATCCGGTTCCATCTGGAGTTTTGGCATCAACAGCAACAGATCATTTGCATCCCACGCTCGTCTTGTATGCACTAAAAACTGAATCCTAACATTAAAGGTAGTGAGATTAGGCCTACACCCTTTGAGGACCATAAGGTTCCACAGTCCATTTCCAATCACATACCTCTCGTGCTTGTAAAACGCCGATATAAGTGTAGTATATGTAACCACATCTGGCTTTAACCCATATCTCTCCATCTGCATCATTGTCAGATATGCCTTGTCAAGAAATCCCATCTCACAGAAAGATTTAATGACAATGTTAAAAGAAACTGCATCAATTTCAACCCCATACTTCGCGGGGACATCGAGAAGAAACTCCTGGATGGTGCGCAGAACAGGTTTCAAAGTTAAAACTTTAAGTGCGGCATTGAAAGACTTAACAGTCCTCTTGCACCCGTATGAATCCATATTGTAGAAAGTATCGAGCGCTTGCTCCATCATTCCAGCTTTCCCATATAACATTATAATCCTAACAATGAAACCTTCCCGTCTACCTTGTGGAAGTGTCTTCTGTTGCTCAAGAAGTTCCTCAATGAAATCAAACCGACGTGCCCCAGCTAATCTAGAAACTGTATCTTCAAAAGCAAATCGATTTTCAATCACTAACGAGTTAGTGGCATTAGCTTTAAAGAGCTCGAATAGCTTCTCAGGGTCTCGCTCAGATTTAAGCTTGACAAGTGCAGGCTGCTCAAGCGGTTTCAAACCTTGGATCTGATTGGATTCAATTCGAGCCTGAAAGCTCGATGCAACACCAGTGGCTATAAAGGAAGAAGAATGACAGAATCTGCGAATAGGTCGCAGAGATAGCATGATCCAGGGCCTCCCTCGAGCCTAAACATGCCCGTATAGTGAACCCAATAACATGTAAATCACTAATTTCCCCCAAAGCTTCAACCTTTGCAATTTGTAAGATCTATAAACCAATCATTCCCTCAGATTTTAATCTCAATCGATATTCAGTGGAGATTAAGCAACGAGAACGAAGAATTAAGCAAACCCTCGACATTCATCTACCTCAATCGAAAATACCTAAAAAAACCCAATAAGATTCAACAACCGACAAAACAATAAAACCAACTCCGACGCCGATTGTAATAACACTGACAGACTTTAACTCAGGTGGGTATGATCCTAAGCCGGAGCAGTGACCGGAAAAGGAAAGATTTTTCGATCTGAGGATCCCTGAGATGGAGATGACCAGAAGAGGAGGCTAAAGCCGGAGCAGATTCGAGACATACGGAGGTTTAAGGTTTTAGGTTTTGGGTTTGCAGAAAAACAAATTTCAGTGACTATTGGGCCCAAATTGGGCCTTTCAACTTAAAATTCTTTTTGTTTATTTATAATATGACCCCTTTAATTCCATTGTATTTCAATTTACACCGAAACTTAACAAGTTGATACAAAAGAGCCAATAGTAGCTAGAGACAAGAGGAAGGTCGGATAATGCCTTGTGCTAAGCCTTGAACAAAATTGCAGAGAGAAGAGACAGAATCAATCCCATTGGCTGGAGATAAGTCAATGTCTCTCATGAAAATGTTGGAACATGAAACACTCTTCTCTGAACACTCAAGCTTCACTGCCACTTTTGTCGCCGATGTTCCACTCATCTTCATGTATCTCACTTTCTCTATGTGTACTGCCTTTCTCTGATATTACATTAACCAAAACATTAACTCATTTTCATTTAACATATATCTTACATAAGCAACAAAAAATGGTACTTACAGTGTGCGTGCATTTAGGGGTAGTACAACCGTAGAACTGATCAATGATGATAGGGTTTTGTACTGACGAGAAATGAATGTCGAAGAATTCGATTCCTCGGACGTGACCAGTAGCTCCAGGCCATGTCTTGATTCGAGCTCCGTTTGTTGTCCTTGTAAAGTTAACGTGCCACACACGTATGTTTTCCACTGCTACCTCTGTTCCACCTCGACCTAAACTCCCAATACTTGAGTCCCACATTTCTTATTACATTTTTCCTGTTTTGAAAAAAATATATATATATGCTTGCGAGTTTTGATCATGGAGATTCTTTTAACTACCTCACACCATGACCAGGTCCACAGTTCACAAAGGTAACATTCACATTATTCACTTGATCTCCGACCGACACACAATCATCACCTATTTATTTTGTGAAAAACAAGCGAGTTTAAAACTCGTGTCAATGGATCAAGATTATTGCTATGGTACTTAGTTAAATAAATTTACCTGTAGCGATATCGGAATGAGTAATCGAAACGGCGGAGGAAGATGTGATGTGAACACCGTCCGTGTTAGGGCTAGCCTCCGGTGAGGTTATTTTGATGTCGTTGATATACACATTTTGGCTTCCCATTATAAGAACATGTGTTTGTGCACTGTTTCTCAATCTCAAACTCTTCAATGTTACATTTCCACAATTGCTAAATGTCATCATCTACGAGAAAAATATATAATTAAGCAAAACACATCCCTCCAAATTATTTTGTTTTTGTTTTCATAAAACAAGAAACTTACCGTTGGTGCAAGGCAGATGCAATTCTGTAATTATATTACATAGAGATGATTAGTTAGAATATTGTAACCCAAGAAAACCATAAAAGGAGATTATAATTAGGGTGAAAATAAATAAAAATTTACTGGTCCTGGATGGTCTCTACAATGAATATCCCACCATGCTTTGCCTTGGCCATCTAACAAGCCGCGTCCCGCGATTACAAGTCCTTCCACATGATCGAATATGAGCCACGGTATGATCTCGTTCTCATCTTTTTGCCACTTCTTTGTATCACTTTCCGCTATCATATCTCCATCGATCTATATATATTAAAAAAAGACTTACTTTGTAGTTCATATTCTGTTATTCATGTAATACTAAGTAAAGTCATATTCGGAGGGGTTTACAATGAAAATGATCGGTTTGGGATTGCAAGGACCGGTGAAGTGGAGGGAGTTGAGCAGGAACGTCTTCCCTGCTGGTACATATACACTTCCCATATTGGATCTTCCCTTGCAAGTATCGTCCCACGCCTTTTGGAACGCCTTGTTTTTGTACGCAAAACATGTTTAGCATAAGTATAAGCTGGTTAATCAAGTTAAGCTTCTTGTGATATTCATTAATAACTTACAGATGTATCATCTGCAATTCCATCCCCAACCGCTCCATATTCCATCACTGATTCACCATAGCATAACCCGAGGAGTCCTAGAAGTGCGACGAGTACGCTCAAAACACGATCCTGCAGATTTTTACAGAAAGAGGATAAGTTTTTGAACTCTGAGGTTCGATGTAATTAGTATAGATAAGTCAAAGAGTCTTGCCATTTTGACGAGAAATGGATCGATCAAAACAGAGTTGAAAGTTTGATTAATTTCAGATTCTCTTTAAGCGTATATAGGCACACAACATAAGGGACTGATTCAAGCCTCGCATTTATAACAAATAATATTGGATACAAATGCATGCACTATGTTTGGTTAACTGAATGGGATAATGGTAGTTAGAGAAATAAGATGAATGGTAGTTAGAGGAATAATACGAGCATTCAAGGATTCATTGTATGTACTTTCTTTTGTAATAATAGGGATCATATAGCCTTAAGTTTTCTTTAATACCATCGAAGGCTACTAATCAATGATTTTTCTAGTTATATTTTTAAAAGGAAACAATTTTCAAGTAGGCGTTTCTTGATATTTAAAAATGAATATTTCAAATCTGATAAAATTTACAAACTAAGAATCAAAATGATATTATGATGATATTCACTTGCTCTGTTCTATGTCTTATACACTACGTTTAACATGAAGCTCCATGATTCAAGAATCATTACCCACATTTTACATTTCTCTTGCTTGATTCAATCCAAGAACAACAGCAAAAATGACTTCCGGATTTGCAAGAGTCAGTAGAACATATTATCTTCTCCAGGAAAATGGAAACAAGTAGCTTCTCACAATTCAAGAGCCTGAGAGAGTATGATTAGTAGCAGAATCTCTCCTCCAAAGGAACTCAAATGCCAAATCAAAACTCAGTAGGAGGTTTCAATCTTATGAGCCGCTTGATCCGGTATGTGTCCGTGTTCTCCAGAAGTCCCTGCACCAATCTATTCAATTCTGAAACAGTCCAAGAAACGATTTTGTTCTAACCTTGCAAACAATTCAAATACTGAATTCCCATATCTAAACTAGTCTGATGAACAAAGAGAAAAGAGTTCAATAAACTTACAAGCAAGTTCATCGTACTCGTCTTTGCCTACAAGGAAGATGCTAACATCACCTAACACTGTGTCCACTATACAAACTGACCTGCACCAAAATTCACTCAATTAATGTGACACTGCTCAGCAAGAATACACCACTAGGGGAAGTCGCAATCGAAGTCTAGAGCTCTGGTTACCCTATAACTTACTTGTGACAAAGCAACGAGGAGTTCCTCGTTTTTAACGCCTTTGAGATTCTCTGCTCCCAACTTGAGCAAGAAAGATCTCCAGTGCAGCCGTTCCTCAGCTGGAATCTGCCAGACATTTTCTCAGTTAATCGATAACACTTGTGAGGATATACTTTAGACTGAACATGACATATGTCTCTCGTAATCAGACATGTCAAGGAATGTATACACTTGAGCAAAAGCTGTTCCAAGCCAAACGCCGCAAACCCCACCATTTACATTACAAAGTCCAATAGATAATAAAACCAAAGTTCGAAAATGACCACAGGACGGAGGGAGAAGATAAATTGCATATGTAGATTCGGTCAGTGTAAGGAGAAAAGACGAGGGAATAGCTGACTTTAGAGATTCAAATACAGACAATCTAGATGCATCCCAAACAATGAGCTGAGACAGAAATCAATTATCCAGACAATTGTGAACACTTTTCGAACGTATCTTTCAATGGTCAGCTTGAAGAATTTAGTTATAAAAAGATGCCACAGAGATTAATTAACCACTCGGAGAATCTCAAATTCCAGTATGAAAAGAGGGAGCTTTGATTTCGAATACGGTTCCAGATTGTTGCTCAAAACAGAGACAGTGTACAAATAAATCCGGAGAAACGATGATTTATCGTCACCCTAATCTCAGAATCAGATCGTTGCGTCAATATTCCAATCCCAAATATGAAAAAATAAAACGATTCGATGAAATGTGGAAAAAAACAACCATAAAAATCCAAACTTGTTGGGATCAAAGGAGAAGAAAATGAACAATGCAATGCAATGTATAGAGAGGGTATAATAAGAAAGGGCATACCTTTCGATCAACACATTCCCAAAGGAATTGGCCAAGAAAACTGCAACAACCTTTGGGATTTTTCCCTGACGATTAGTTAATTTTCCATGTGAATTAACCCTTTGAATCGCCATAAGACAAACACCCCATCGAAGGAGTGCCACGTGGCGAATGCACAATCTACATCTTTGGTTGTACAGTTGTGCTTCCTTTTTGGTACAGTTGTGCTTGGTGGACTTTTTCCTTGTCGGAGGAATATGTTTTTTTTTTTTTTGTCACAATCGGAGGAATATGTAAAGTTTTGATTTGTGTAGTCTTCTTCGTTAAGTGTATATAGTAATGTCTCGAGAATTGAGACTCTTGAGAAAGCAGCCTTTATAAGTCAACATTAACATGCATTTTCCCAAAATAATAAGGCTTTGAATAAACGTAAAGAGGCTTCGATTATCTCCGACAAACTTGAGCTATATTCGACATGTATATCTCTTGTCGTCGTTCAAGATGACTGGACTATTAAACTCGTTTTTTTTTAACAGTATATAATTTTATTTTCCAGTGAACTTCACAAGACATTCTAGTTTTATTATTATTTGTTAGACGTATTTTTACTTTCACGTTTATGACCGACATGCAATACGGCCGAGCGGACCAAAAAGAAAAAGGGGACATGCTCATTTCCCATGCA